TAAAATTTCTATGCTGTAAGCACCAGTTCAACCTTCGCTCCTTTCGTTTAGGTTTCATGATTGGTGATGGAATTCCTCGACTTTTCTGCCAACCCATTGCATGCAGCTCAGTTCTAATTGTCTCCTTACAGACAGCCACAGTTCCTCTATCAATCATATCTAGCCTTAAGTTTTCTAAACTCCTTTGGGTCTTTTTAGAAACAAGAATACCAAGCCGCCTCCTGTCACCGACAGTCAATTTTCTGGGCCTACCTGCGCCTCCCTGGTGCTCAATGCCATATCCATTTGCAATATTTTTCAGAACACGATAAACAGTGGACAAAGGGATGCCTGTTCTACTTGAAATCACTTTAGCTGATCTGATGTCCTTGTTATAATACTCTAAAATCAACTTCACCTTCTCTAAATTATCCATACTGACGATCACTGAAATTGTCGTCTGATAGCAAGTAAACAAAGGGGGACAACTCTTCACAAACTAATGAAAAAGGATGAACGGAGTTGTCTCTCTTGAATGAAACCAAGCCCTTGGTAGCTGGTCAAGGTTGTTTATACTAGATATCCAATTAAACATATTCCCAAAAAAATTCTCAATAATTTCTGGTCATACTATATGTTCCACACCTTTGACATAGGTGTACAGGAATTGATTTTAGGAACATAATTTTTCCAAGACTGACGCTTATTCTGTTTATAAGCGCGTCGAACCTTGGCATTTGAAATTTGGACTTTGTCTAAATTATGGATGGTAGGATGTTGGATTTCTGGCCTGTTTACATTCAGTATTACAACCATGGTTGACGAATATGTTGGAATTGCAGAGGACTTGGGTATAGTTTGGCCAGCAATGCCATTGAGCATATCTGAAAACAAGTGTACAGGATCTTCGCTGTTCACAAAAACACCATGTTCAGTGTGTTCAGTGTGTAAGTGTTCAGTACATAGTGTTTTATTATAATGACCAATCACCCCTATCGGAATTCCTACTTGATAAAGGTGGATCATCACCAGGGGCGATTGTTTTGAGAATGGTGGGGAAGTGATCACTCCCACATAGGTCATCATGGATCTTCCATTCAAATTCAATATATAAACTGGAGTCAGCAAGTGATAGATCCAGGGAAGAGTATATTCCGTAGTTAGATGTAAATAGGTGGTTGAATCATGATTGAAAGTACAGAGATTATTATCCGAAAAGAATTCCTCGAGGTTTTTACCTTTATTGTTAGTATGGTCACTTCCACAAAGTGGGTTGTGTCCGTTTAGATCGCCCATGATAATACATGGCTTTGGGAGCTATTCACAGAGATTTTGAAGATCGGATATCAGAAGATGGAGAGACATATAAACTGCACAGCGTCAACGCAATGTGCAGAGTCAGACGAACAGCTACAGTTGGGAGATTGATGTTAAGAGGAACAGGACTATGTGTGATATCCTGCCGTACCAAAATAGAAGCACCTCCAGTTGTTTTATCTCCTGCAAGAGGAAAAGAATGATAATCACTGTATTGTGTTAGATTAAGTTGTGAGTAGTTTTTAGATAGGTATCTTCCAGACATAATGCTGACGGCTGAAAATGCTGTATTACTAATTGGATGTCATTGAAGTTATTTTAAGTCCTCTGCAATTCCATTGCATTAAAGTCGGCAATTGAGTCATGGTGGCGATCTCTCTCGTGAGTGTGAGGAGGAGGAGGAGGTATTCCTCCGATTGTCTTCTGAGGACAGAGTAACCTCCATGTCAAGAGGTCCAAAGGGGTTCGTGAGAAGAACCTCTGAAGGTAAATGGACAGATGATGGCTGTTTCCTGGCTTTTTTTCCTTTTGTTTGTGATGAACTGACTGAGGTGGGCTGTTTGATAACTTTTTTTGACTGTATCACAGGCTGATACTTAGTCTGAGAAGCAGAAGTAGACGGTGTGACTGGGGACATGGGTTCAGTAACTGGGGACTTTCGCGGAGCAGCTGAAAGAGGACGTTGCCACAGAACGAGTGCCCAGAGCAGAATATGTGATTTTTTATTGGAGCTGAGGTCTGATTGTGGAACAGTATTTTAGCATCGAAGTATGAAATGGGTTTTTTTCACATTTGAGCTTCATGATAGCTGTCATCCACACCAACACACCAACATCCACACCCACACCCACAACCACTATCACACCCATACCCACACTCACACCAACACCCACACTCACACTTACACCAACATCCACATCCACACCAACACCCACACCCACACCCACACCCACACACACACTTACAGCAACATCCACACCCAGAGTAGTACATGTCTTGCCATACAGGGCAGGATTTAGATGACGCTGGATGTGGGCCATCCCAATTGCACATTTCAGATCGTTTTCACAGTCAGTGCCCTCGTGGTGGTCTCCACAACGGTGACACACCACAGAGTTACGGCAAGATTGTGAGCCGTGGCCGTACTTCTGACATTTGAATGGACTGGGGACGTACACCTCCACTCTGATATTGAAATAGCCGCTTGAATTGATTGTGGAATTGTTGAACGAGCAAACGTCAAGAGATAGGTGTTCGTTGTAGTGGTGACACCATCTCTCTTGACAGTAAAACGTTTTACTGATTCCTTTAATTCTGTAGCAATATCTTCTTCAGACATGTCTATCAAACAACGAGCTTTGTCTCGAACAATGACACGACAGGAATTTAATGTTCTGTGCACAGACACAGCAACCTCAATACAATGTATTTGCAACTGTTTTACTTGACATTCTTTAAATGACATTTAATTGACAAAGATTTAGAGATTGCTGTCTCCGTCCATAGTCGACAAGAAGCGAGCCACCATAAAGACGGGTAACATTTGATACTTCCCCACAAATACCAGCAACGGCCTTGGAAATGGCAAAATGGTTTAATTTTATTGAATGTGAATCAGTAGCCTCAGTCACCAGAAACGAGCCCAGGAAGCATCATTTGATGAAACATTTCTTGAAGTATCTACGACATTTATGAAACGTCTTTTCTATTCGTTTCTAGATGAACCAGATGTTTTGGGATCCATAATAAATGTAAATAGTTTCAGCATCCCTGCTCCCCATCTACCACGGAATATCAACAAGGACGGTGTCATGTTGCACCGGATCTCCGAGATGCTGATAACAGGGGTGTTATACTCCAGAGATACAAACATGAAAAGCTATGAGAAACTAAAAGAATAGCCTGGTTCGGCCTTAGACATCATTCCCAAGAATCACAGATTTCAGAGGTCTATTATTACCAGATTGACCCATCAGCTACCGCCTTATGGCATAGGACATAGGCAATTTATACATGACAATTTCCATGACTGACAGTCATTAATAATCAAATATATTCAAAATACTTGTAACAGGAATATTTTCCATGCGCAGGGCACGGCCTGAACCGGGCCAATTCTACCACCCGTCTAGGTGAAGTAAGGGGCGAAGTGGTGTGTTGGGCAACAGGAACACCTGGTCCTGGCTCCTGTGTCCTCAACCACCAGACTCACGTCCTCCACCGACACAGGGGGCAACCCACAGCAAACAGCTTGCCCAATTCGGTTTTACGACCAGCAATGGGGTGCGGTGGACCTAGTATGCCCCCGGGTACACCCGGGAGAAAGAGTTATTAGCGTTACCCAGCACCCACCATGAGGAGGTTGCTCTTCAAGGGTGCCAGTGTGTCTTTGAAGTGGACAGATGAAGATTTGATCGTGCTCTCGTGACGCACCTTCTTTGTTGTGACAATCACGTTGCCTCATTTCTGTATTGGGATGCCTAGTCTATTCTTTTAACAAGATCGTGATTGTGTAACTTCACAATGTTTTGACTGTATTATATCGCTGTTTTGAAGAGGCTTCCTGTTTAGGAATAATAGTAGGCATTGAGGAACGGAGGTGACTTTTCGTTACGGTCACAAAACATGAAGACAGGTTTCCTGCGGGTTTATAAGCACAGAATGTTGTTTAACATTTTTTTAATTATTAAATCAATTCATGAAATTCAAAATGGTAAAACAATTATAATGCATCATGCCAAATTATAAAACGATTGTACTTGTAGTTTTTGAGTAAAGCGACTGAACACCGTCACGAAATGTTTTCTGCCAGACTATAACTGAAATGTGTACTTGCTACTACACCTACCTATCCTACATTGGAAGTAATTTAGTATTTTCTGTATTCTAAAACAACCACGTTTAGTTCCCCATGTAGATTCCCATCTACACTATAAATTCTCACATGAGATTCAACAAAACATCCAAAAAATCGAAAAGTTTTACTCTTCACTGAGGGGCGGTCGGGTAGCCTAATAGTTAAAGCGTTGGCTCGTCACGCCGAAGACCCGGGTTCGATTCCCCACATGGGCACAATGTGTGAAGCTCATTTCTGGTGTACCCCGCCGTGATATTGCTGGAATATTGCTAAAAGCGGCGTAAAATCATACTCACTCACTACTCTTAACTGAGTAATCGTAAAGTTTTTCTGCTATTTCTGTGCTCTATCGCGTGCTCTCTGCTCCACTCTGGGGCGGTGGGGTAGCCTAGTGGTAAAGCGTTGGCTCGTCACGCCGAAGACCCGAGTTCGAATCCCCACATGGGTACAATGTGTGAATCCCATTTCTGGTGTCCCCCGCCGTGATGTTGCTGGAATATTGCTAAAAGCAGCTTAAAACCAAACTAAGTCAGTCAGTCAGTCAGTCTGCTCCATTATGATATTGCTGAATATTGCTAAAAGCGGCGTAAAACCAAACTAAGCCAGTGATATTTGCTGGAATATTGCTAAAAGCGGCGTTAAACTATACTCACTCACTCACTCTCCTCAACTCTTCTCGTATGTGTTCCTCATGTTTGTACTACAACTTGTACTTCAATCTGAATCTATGAAGGAGTTGTCGATATTATTACACATGATTAGCATTTAATTTCTGGATTTTGTCCATGCGAACTTGCTTTGTTATGGATCCATTTCGATCATTGTATAAAACCTCTTCTGATTTCAGGGTTGGGTCAACGGTCAGAGAGGGCCGTCCCTACTGGACTTACAGATCATCACGGGGACGGACTTGTCTCAAGGCTCCGCCTTTTTCACAGCTGCTGCCACTGGATCTGTGGTTGGAGCCGTTGCTGGTGGAGCCATCTATGACCGGTTCAATAAATACCTGTCGCTGTTCATCTCGATGGCCGGGCACGGACTGACTGTAGCTGTGATTCCACTGTGTTCACCCTACTGGCTCATGATCACCATGTTTGCAGTACACGAGTTCTTCCTCGGCATATTTAAAACAGGCGTGTGTGTGTCTTCATTTATTTAGAGTTTTATGCTGCTTATAGCAATACTTCAGCAACATCACGGCTGGGGACACCAGAAATGGGCTTCACATATTGTACCCATGTGGGGGATCGAACCCAGGTTTTCGGCGTAACGAGCCATCGCTTTAACAACTAGGCTACCCCACCACCCCACTAATTTAGAAAAAAACGGAACTTTATGGCATGAGGCCCCTATCCGCAGCATAGGATGAATTTTGCACATATTTATGCCATATATATAAACTGTGCACCAGGGTTTGAAAGTGGCTAAAATAGATATTAGAAAAAGACATTCGATGGTGACGCATTTCATACGGGTATTATAGGCCAAATTAAATGCATGACAACTGTAAATAGTACAGCCCAGTAAATGTGTTTTCTTGTTTAATCTCAAGTGTGTACTTTCTAATGCCCGACAAGTTATTCTGATGGCATAAATATATCCATAGTTAGAATAATATGGATGTCAACTTATGTTATGAGAAATACAACGTTTCGGAGTATATACTAACTTCTTTATCAGATGAATGAATGCTATGACGCATATATATATATATATTTGCTGGAATGTAGCGGTCAACAGTATTCATGTGGATCACAGCTTGTGCTGTGGGCTTTTCAATGTCTATCAGCTTTCCTGCGATGCTGACCTGGATTGAGAAGGACTTTGTGGAACTCTCGGGTAAAATCATGTCCGTCATCTTTATAGCTGTAGGTCTGGGTGGAATGGTCAATCCTCAGATCATTGGTCATCTGATGCAAGTATACAGTCCTCTCTGGTACAATTATGTCCTGACCATCGAGAGTGTTCTGTTGTTCCTCAGTTTCCTAATGTTGGTGTGGCTTGTGAAGAAAGTCCTGAGCAAGCATCACTTATCCTACACTGACACAACAGACACAGCGGAAGAAATGGAGGAACCTCTGGATGAGGATATAACCCAAGCTTCATAATAATTTAGATTTAATTTGTTATAGGTCTTTTTGAAATTGTTTTATCGCAGCTGACATTAATTGCACAGGAACATCCCTTGCATTTTGTTACTCTTCTCCACATTTACTTAAACAGAAAAGTAACCCTTGACCATTTAAAGATTACTCTAAGTGTTGTCAAGGGAGTGGTCTGATCATTAGCCTGTATGTATTCCACCAGTTTCTACAGTTTTCCTACACCCCTTGCCAAAATGAAAATTAATTATACTTTTTCCCGGTGTCTTTTTTGGTCCTTTTTTTTATATGGGGTTTTGTCTTTCCTTTATAAACGTTTACGACAGATATTTGTGAATCCACATTATACAGCGTTTCATATGGAAATTCGGTGAGTTTATCACAGGATTAGCAGGGTGCAAGTAGTTTATCATCTGTAGGTATCTGATCAGTGAGGGGAGTCAGGGTTGTTCAGCTAAATTAGTGGATTACTTTGCACTATGTGGAAATGTGATTTATCTATATTGGGTAATTGTTTTGCATTGTTTCTGTTACAATTCAGTAGAATCTCAAAAATAGTTGTGTTTTAAGAAGGTTCTTGTCAGGAATGCATTACTGGCGAACTTTATGGAAAACCACTGGTTGTATTTCGTGAGTGCGACCTTTCGTTACATATTCTTGAACCGTTGTTTTGCTTGACAGTTGTTATACATAAAGTTTGTCAATATTATATTTTGCAACTTCTAAATTGCCACGATAATGAGATGTCAGGATTGTGTTACCTTTTAATGTGAGCAGTGGCATGGAAGTTACCAGATAAGAATACATTTGGGGTAAGGAGTATTCTAGAACAGCATAGACTAACCCAGAACTGTTTTGTCTTTTCTGGTAAGAATTTAGACCACTACATCAGAGCTTGTGCTTGCCTCTATCTGCTCATAATACAACACGAGCAGAGGCTGTGTGGTCTGCACTAGTAGTTTGATCGTTGTTGCTGCTGCTAAATAACATATGGTTACTACCGACATTATTTTATTGGCACTGCTAATCTGTTCGTGATTAGAGTCGTGAAGATCAGTTTTAAAAATTTGGTCTTCAGCAACGAATGATTGTTGTAAGAGGCGACTAATGGGATCGGTTGGTTGACACATGTCACCTTGTCGCACTTGCGTAGATCACTGCTCATGCTATCGATCACTGGATTGTCTGGTCCAGTTTACAGACCGCCGCCATATAGCAAGAATATTGCCGAGTGCGGTGTAAGACTACACTTACTCGCTCACTGTTCGTGATTGTACTAGTATTGAATTCTGCACTTACACTATTTGGCTTTACTACCATTAGTTCCTTGCATTTACGGCAGCCTCTGTGGTGTAGTGGTTAGAGCGTCCGCCCAGTGAGCGGAAGGTCGCGGGTTCGATCACCGACCGCGTCATGCCAAAAGACGTTAAAATATGGTACTTGTTCGTCCCTGCCTGGCGCTCGGCATTAATGGGTACAACAAGGACTGGTCGGCTCGGAGTCAGTATAGTTTGTCTGAGTGAGGTATTCATGCTTCACTGCGGCATGGTTTCTCAGTGGGCTAGCACTATAAAACCAGCTTCAGTCTGGGCTAGTACAAGCAGCCGCACATACCCATACACACGCATGCACGTCGTCATATGAGCGAAATATTCTCAAGCACGACGTTAAACCCAATTTCACCTCACCTCACCTCCTTGCATTAACGTGAACTGATTTGTAAACCGAGTCAATTTAATGAATAAAATATTTATGTTTTCTTTGTCAATGACAATGACATTAGAATCTACGTCAAAACGTCGCCTTTCACAATAAAAGAAGTTGTATATCCATAAAAATTGTCACCATTCTTCATCAACTCAACTACTAAAATGCCCATCAAAGAAATCCTCAAAGGGGATTAAGGCATTGTAAAATTGTTGTCCCCCTGAGAGGGTAAGTAAGACCACGTCTTTCAAAGTATAATTAATCTAACGATATAATCGTAGAATATATCTTCGTTTTAATTAATGTCTAGATTTGTCAAAAAAATTAGCTGTAAGTCCAGATAGGGTCCATGCCCGTAGCAAAAGTATGGTCCCAAGCATGGTGATCTACCCTTAGTTGTTAGCAATCTATAGTCTGTTTTTATATTTTGCATTGTCTTCCATGGTTAAAATGTTTTAGCTTTTCATACTAGTATTACATTAATATCTGTGATATTTTAGTTGTTTTTACTGTCTTTCGTTGACAGGTTTTTATAATTTAAGTTTACGTATTAGGAATCTATAACTTGTTTTACACACGATATGGCTGAAATCCTGCCGATGTGACATAAAATCTTAATCTTAACGCTCACCTTTTCACCAAGCCAAGTTAAGTTCCAAAGATATGGGATTAGGTGGTGCCACTTCATCCCTTTTTAACCAAGCAATGTTATCAACCCACTTAAGGTCCTAAGATTATCGGTCGTCCATCTGCCCTTCTGAGAGTCCAGTACACAATCGAAGACACAACTATCCAAATTTCTACCTATTTTGAAATACATATATGTATACTGATTTCTGAATCAGAAGTACCATGTTGATGCCATGGACTCGCTTTCCCGTTCCCAATTGAACCTGACTGAACCTAATAAATATTCATGGGAAGACGAGTGCGACAGTGGATCAATCCAACTGACTAGGACTTACTCACTTAGTCACCCAGTCGTTAACTGATTGGGCCCGGAAGTAGGTCACGGCACTTTGCGAGACCTTTGTACTTCCGGTGACAAACAACGTTTCACACCTTTTCGAATGGTCTCATGTTTGTCAGTTGATAATAAGGAACCGATAATCCCAATCTAGCCATCCCAAAATTAGCCAACTATTACGACTGTCAACACCTGTGACTGCCAAGCATTGTTGTGCGCTTGGTCTGGTCTACCCAGCTAACACAGAAACGTTTTGAAAACGTTTTTAAAACTTTTCCGTATCGTTTCAAAAACGTTCAAATATTATTTTTTAAAACCTTTTTTTGTGGATTTGTTTTATGTTTTAGAAACGCTTTGATGAAACGTTGGCGAGAAACATAAGGGACCTTGAAAACGTTTTTTCAGGGGTTTTCCAAAACGTTTCAGAAACGTTTGGGTTGAACCTTCTTGCGATTGTAGAGATATCAGAAACAATGTCATCTTCTGATATCGTTGCAAGGCTAGTTTACCAACAGGAAGTGTTTTAAATCTCGACCAATAAATACATACACCTAAATAAATTTGTTAATCAAGTTATCCGTTATTATTTAGTAAAAATGAAAACAAAACAATGCTATGTTTTAAAGAATACTTCATTTCATCAATACACATGGGAAATAATCAGTCATCTTTCTCATCAGGCTTTTCTTACGTCTGTGTTAGCTTCTGAAAAAAAAAACATATATATATATTCTATAAATATTTACTGTCCCTTCACTCTTGATGATGCTAAATTACTGCTAAATAATGTTTCTGTGTCATGAAACTATGTTGAAGAGTACAAATTCACAACAGTATTTATCGAAAACTAACAAAATAAGTACAGTTCAATCAATCTAGACCATTAATCTTATACAAAAGAAATTTATTAGCAACCAATTTGTCAAATTGTGCATCTGGTTATATTATATGATACTTTCCCAAAATACGGGCGCCATTTACAGAAGAAACTTGTTACCCGCAATAGTTTTACGGGGCTGAATATTCTGTATTTGTTACAGTTGACCCAAGTTATAAATAATTAGTTGCCTTTTCATGGCAGGATAAACTTTTATGTAAAAGTATTTCTTCATGACGCATCTTCATTTCTTGTTTAAAAGTCGCATACTATATTTACTTATGAGGTGTCATAGCATGGTTGTTAGGGAAGTGACGTATTGTTTACGCTATAAAATAACGAACTGGATTCACAGACTCGAATGTAATATTATTCCCCTGATTTCCTGTACACCGCAAGAAGTGTCTACGTAACTAAATCTGTGTCGGCAGATTGGATACGGAACAGAGGAAACAGGGAAAATCCCTACATTTGAAAACACGTCTACATTTTGGTCATTTTATAAATGGTATATCATAGTTAAGCTAATAGTCGACGTTTGTTTGCAATTTAATTGATATCACCATGACTCTACATTATATTATTTGCAAACACAGACATACTGTAACATAGTTTGGATATGAATGTGCATTTACTTATTTACCACTCTGCAAACCTTAAAAACCGGGTTTTCTCATTTGCTTATACTATTAATTTAGATCTTGTGAACATTGATGCTCATGTAGTAAACAAAAACACACATTCTAACACTAGGAGTAAGTTTATACTAATTGGCACAATGACTTTATGTCACAAGTTCTATATATCACACATATGTTGAGAAAACATCATTGGAATACGTACTGTTACAAACAAAGAATGAACGTTCACAAAGCAAGATATAGAATTTAACTCAAAATTCTAAGTGATGATGTATCAATTTGACTGTACAAATTTACGTTTTTACAACAATAATGTGAATATACATACCTCCTTTGACAAAACTGCAATCTTGTCACAAGAATAAAATTGACAGTCCTCTATATCTACATGTAGTGGAACTTCCCGCCTGCTATGTACAGAGTCCGATTATAAATGCACGGTTTCCTGCTCTGACCTGATTTATAAAGTATCTGGGAAAATTCCTGAGAGTTGACACCCATACAAGAGACAGCAAGTTGTCCACGCAGAGAAGACTGAACTTAAATGCACAGCAGTAAATGGGTGATTACAATAAAATGTTGGATCTAAAGTAAATAGTACAGTACAAAAATCAGTCATTGTAATGAGACACATGACACATCATTCCACTTAGCAGAACGTTGAGAACAGTTTTCAAAAACTTATAATTCTCACAAATATCTATGTGCAGGTTAAATTGCATAACCACTATTTACAAGTTAATATGCATTCGTGCAGTGAACGGAGACATGCTTATAAGGAAATGTTTGCCTCAAAATGTTTCAATAACAATTT